GGGGGGGGGGGGGGAATCGGTTATTCACTCTATTTTTCAAAGTTATTCTATCTTATTCATCATAAATAGGAATACTGATTATTGTAAGTAACTTAACCTAATTGTGCAAAAATAATATGCACGACAAATGTACAAAAATTAAAGTCATTCTTGAAACTAAGGACCCGTTTATTCATAATTTTCTTTCCGGAACTCATCTTCAAGATATTAAATAAGTTATAAATTGGATGAATTTTGATTTTTTTTATTGAAGATGAGTTTCAAGATTGAAAAAGTGGTAAAAAATTACTTCTTCAAGTAAAAATTTATTTTCCATCACAAAACTGTAATATTTTTTTCAAGTGAAATGCATGTCCAAACGTAATTTCAAGTACCCTTTTTCAATTTAACTCAAATACTATTTTTTTTTTTTTTTGAAATCAGAATTTTTATGTCTAAACGCCTATTAAATACTCGTATTCAAAATTATCAATAGAAAATAAGGGAAACAAAGAATGAGTAATCTGTTGAAGTGGGCTTTTCAAGCTGAAAATCTGTCTCATTCCATAATTTACCTTTTAACCGGCAACGGTAAAAAGTGAGTCCCCCTCGTCTATATCTATGTTCCAAACTATGGAAACAAACACCCTTTCCTCACCTGTCTTTCTGTCTCTCTGTTTTCTTTCTTTTTTTCCCCTTCATTTAATTTTATATATATGTCATCATCCCAAATCTTCCTTACGTACCCAATTCTGATCTTCTTTCATAATAATAACAATAATAATCTCACAATCCTCTTTAAATTCCCTTTAATTATATTTGCCACCTTGTTTATTTCTTTAGGAAGTTGGAAAGAGAAAATGTTATCTTCATTACAAGGTTGTAATGGGTTTTTAGAGCGTGAAAATTCTGTGCAACTTGTTCATCAGAGGAATAGCAAGGTGGTTGATGAATATGGAAAATCAACAAGGAAAAATAAATCAAAAGATGCAGCTTTAACACATGCTATGGCGGAGCGCAAACGCAGAGAAAGAATTAATGCTCATCTTCATACTCTCAAGAAACTCTTTCCCCATCTCCCTAAAGTATCTTCTCTTCCCTTGCGCATATAAAATTGTCTCAGTTTTGTTTTTATTTTGTCTACCTATGTGTTTCTATTTCAAAATCTATGTTGTTCTAGTTGCATGAAGAAAATTAAAGCACATATTTTAATGGCACAACCAAAAACGCAACCAATTTTAGTTGTACGTACAAATGGTAAAAATATACATATATATATTTATACAATCAAACGGATTGTAAGATAATGACATATAAATATCTAATATAATCTACTATAATAAGTTAAACGATATTGATTTGCAACCCACGTGTATATATCTGTACATTTCAATATACATGGGCGTTGGGTCATTTTATTTTATTTTATTTTTTCGTACCATTTAGAAATATGTAGAAAATGAGAAGTTTATTGTGTAAAGTAGAAAGTGGGACAATATGCCTCACCCATGTGTAAATTAGAATTTATTTGATTATGTTATCTATTGTAAATTTGTAGCTGCAGTATTGGTAGCTAGAACAAATAAGATGCACATCATGCTGACGTAAGAATAGCAGTCATATAATGCCTCATTCAGATATACTAACTATCCCATCCCTGCCTGACACTATTCTCTTATCAAGATTATACTTTGACTAAATTCTGGAACAAAATTGAATTAATTAATTTAATTGTCATAACAATAAGATTTATATATTTTCTTATATTTGAGTGGAACAATGAAATACGTTTTAACATGACAAAAAATTTAGTACAGAGGGAACGTTTTTTTCCCCCATAGGAGTTCCTTTACTTTTGTACATGAGTTGGTCCTATTATATCATATATCATTGGTTCCTTTATATATTGCATCGCTTCGAACCTGTAGTAGTGTGTTCAATAATTAAGATCATTTATTAGGTAATTGAGTAAATTTATATCATATACATTAATTGGTAAGTTGATAAAATGATATTGCTAATTTGTTATCACTATGTAAAATTTAAATCCGTACTTATAAGTATGAATTATTAATGCAGAAGGACAAATCAAGAGTACTAACGGAGGCAGTCACTCAGCTTAAAGAACTAAGGAAGAAGGTAGCCCAACAAATGGAAACCCAAAAAGATAGTGAAGGAAACTACAATGGATTGTCATCTTTCTTTCTACCCGGTGAAAATGATGAAGTATTAGTAAATTACTCTAAAGAAAGTGACAGTGATGAACGAACGGTCAAAGCTACGGTTTGTTGCGAGGATAGACCGGGGTTGAACCGGGACTTATCGGTGGCGGTTCGATTAGTTCAAGGGCGGGTGATCAAGGCAGAGATGGCAACGGTCGGAGGCCGGACAAAGGCGGAGATGGTGGTAGTGTTGTGTAAGGTTGGTGGAGGAGAAAAAGACATTGCACAACTTAGACGGGCTTTAAAGTCCGTTGTGGAAAATAGGGCTTTGGGCTTGGGAAGTTCTCTGAATTTGGGCCGTAGATTGGGTGATAATAAATGGGCTTGTTTTGGTGGACTTGAGTAAAAATTGTATGGGATAGCCACTTTTTAAAGTGCTATTTACATTTTATCCAGCATTTTCAATGCTTACCAATAGTAGTCACTAGTCCATTAAAATTAATATGAAAAGACTGTGTTACCCTTTCTTCTATCTCTTTCATGTTAGGGAGAAGAACTGTGCCGCCGTCTGTGAGGCTCTTTCTCCATAATGGGTTCGCCGAAAAACGGCTAATTCGCCGGTCGGAATACCAGAAACCAGGAGATAGTCCTTGAAAATGGCAGTTTTCACGTGACATCCAATTTCTGAGTCTTGGTGCTATGGAACAGAAGAGACTATGAGAGAGGAATAGGTCTTGTTTGGATATCGAATAGGAACAAATTAGAACATTATTATCCTTGGTACATTAAAAAGTTCTTTTTTTTTTGGCTATCAATCCATGACCTATTTAAGTGTAGATAATATTTAGTAAATGATTAGTTTATTGGGCCCTCTGTCTTTTCACATTGAGCTTAATGCCTAGGTCCTGAACTTAAGCTAAGAAGCCCAAAAGTTAAGGACAATAGGTCCTGAACTTAGAGTAACAAGCTCAAAAGTTAAGGACACTTGGTCCTAAACTTAGACTAACAAGCTCAAAAGTTAAGGACAATAGGTCCTGAACTTAGACTTACAAGTTCAAAAGTTAAGGACAATAGGTCCTGAAGTCCTGAACTTAGACTAACAAGCTCAAAAGTTAAGGACAATAGGTCCTGAACTTAGGCTAAGAAGCCCAAAAGTTAAGGACAATAGGTCCTGAACTTACAGTTACAAGTTCAAAAGTTAAGGACAATAGGTCCTGAAGTCCTGAACTTAAGACTAACAAGCTCAAAAGTTAAGGACAATAGATCCTAAACTTAGGCTAAGAAGCCCAAAAGATAAGGACAATAGGTCCTGAACTTAGACTAACAAGCTCAAAAGTTAAGGACACTTGGTCCTGAACTTACAGTTACAAGTTCAAAAGTTAAGGACATATAGTCCTGAAGTTAAGTTCAAAAGTTAAGGACATGTAGTCCTGAAGTCCTAAACTTAGAGTTCCAAGTTCAAAAGTTAAGGACATGTAGTCCTGAAGTCCTGAACTTAGAGTTACAAGTTCAAAAGTTAAGGACATGTAGTCCTGAAGTTAAGTTCAAAAGTTAAGGACATGAGCAGAAGGGTATTTTTGACCGAGCAGTTAAAGTTTATTAAAGCAGTGGCTAAAGATTAAAGACATTTTAAACAGTGGCTTTGTGACGACCCGGCCCGTCGTCACGTGAGTTACCGCCCCGTTGTCCCCATATTATGTTCCCCTGCATTTGAGTATTGGTATTTGAGGTGATCGGATGGAATTGGATTGGTTTTAGTTGGAAATGAGGCACTTAGCCTCTTAGAAGGAAGCTTATTTTGGAAAAGTCAACCGGAAGTTGACTATGTAGTTAGAGGGCTCGGATGTGAATTCCGATGATTCGGTTAGCTTCGGTGGATGATTTGTGACGTAGGAGTGTGATCGGAATTGAATTTGGAGGTCCGGTGTAGAATTAGGCTTGAATTGGCGAATGATGAATTTTGGTGAATTCCGGTTGGTAGGTGAGATTTTGATCCGGGGTTCGGAATGGAATTCCGAGAGTTGCAGTAGCTTCGTTAGGTGATTTTGGATGTGCGGGTAAAATTTCATGTCATTTGGACGTTGTTTGGTTGGGTTTTTGATCGAATGTGAGTTTCGGAAGTTTTTAAGAAACTTAGGCTTGAATCCGATGTGATTTAATGGTTTTAGCGTTGTTTGACGTGTTTTGAGGATTGGAACAAGTTTGAATAAGGTTTTAGGATAGGTTGGTGCTTTTGGTTGAGGTCCCGGGGGCCTCGGGGGTGAATTTGAGTGGTTAAACGAGAGTTTTTGAAGTTGTAGCAGGTCTGCAAATTGCTGTCATCTGGTATTTCCGCTTCTGCGAAAATGGACCGCAGAAGCGGGTATAAGGGCGCAAAAGCGATTTTGGTGCTTGAGTGAAGAGTTTCGCATAAGCGGACCCTTTCCGCATCAGCGGGTCCGCAGGAGCGCGTTTTAACTGCAGAAGCGGTCTTGGGAGATCCGCAAAAGCAGATAGTGAATCGCAAAAGCGGAAGCTGTGTAATTAATGGAAAACCGCATAAGCGGTCATTTGGCCGCAGAAGCGGTCCCGCATAAGCGGTAGCGGTACCGCAGAAGCGAAAAAGGACTGTTGGCAGAAGGTTTAAAGGGGGTTTAATTCATTCGCGAGCTCCACCATTTTTCCTCCATTGTTGAGCGAGCTTGGAAGCTATTGACGCGATTTTTAGAGGATTTTGACGGGGAAGTAATTGGAGGTAAGTCCTATGGTCTAGAAATATCATCTATTTGAAGAATCTACTTTTAATTCTTGGAAAAATTGGGAAAAATTGGAAGAACTAGGGCTTATATTTTGGAATGAAAAATTGGGATTTGGAGGGGCATTTGAACTCCGATTTTGATGAATTTGATATGTATGGACTCGTGGAGAGACGAGGAATCCGGTGATGTAAATTTCGTAATTTTTCGAAAAGTGGGCCCGGAGCTCGGGTTTTGCCAACTTCGTGATTTTGGTTGTTTTTCGAGTCTTTTCGATTGGGTTACGATTTGTTAGCCTATTGTGACGTATCCTTTGTGGTTTTGGTCAGATCCTACGCGCGAGGAGGTCGATTCGAGAGGGAAAGGCTTGGCGAGCTAGGTTATCGGCCGGCTAGAGGTGAGTAATGACTTTAAATGATGTTATGAGGGTTTGAAACCCCGGATTTGTACAACTTGGTGCTATGTTAAGTTGAGACCCGCGTTCCATGACGAGCGCGGGGTCATTTAATATTGGGGACTGTGACTTGGTCCAGTCCGGATGATATTTTACCGCGTATTAGCAATGACTTCTTGTTTTCACCATGATTTGGGCTTATTGCCATATTTGGGGCTTATTGCCGACTGTTTGAACCCTTTATGAACTATCATCACTGTTTTCCTCACTGCTAGAAATATTATTTGAACTCAGTCCATGTGATTTACACTGTTTCTTGAACTCAGCCATATTTACTCAACTTGGAGTTTTAAACTGATATTTGAACTATTGTTTGAGCTGAGTATTATTGCTTTACTGTTGCCCGAGGGGCTGTTGACTATTTCTGGACTGATTAAGGCCGAGGGCCTTGTGTGAGGGCATGATGAGTGAGGTGAGGAGGCTTTCAGGACTCGTATTGATACTGTTCAGGCTTTCA